CGGGGCCGCTGGCCCTGCCCTCCAGCCCCCAGCTGTCACCCCATTTCGCAGAAGAGGAAACCGAGGCCCAGAGCTGACAAGTGGGGCATTCACGGCTGAGGCCCCCGGATGAGCTGCTCAGAAAGAAAAACGGGCCAGCCTGGCTTCACCCCCTGAGATTCCAGGCTGGGTGAAGTGACTCACGTCTGTAATCCCAGCTACTTGGGAGGCTGAGATTGGGGGGATCAAGGTTCGAGGCCAGCCTAGGCAAATTGTTCTGGAGACCCCCCATCTCCCAAATAACCAGAGCACATGGACTGGAGGTGAGGCTCAAGTGGGAGCGTGTCTGCTTTGCAAGTGCCAAGCCCTGAGTTCAAACCCCAGTCCCCCCAAAAACAAACAAAATAAAGATTCCACTGGGTAGACACCCAAAAGATCTGCAAGCGGGGACCAGAACAGATGTCTGTCCCCCAAGTTCATAGTGAGACTGTCAAAGAATCATCCAGAGACTCCATCCACGGCGTGGAATATTACCTGGCCGTGAAAAGGAAGGAAACTGTGACACTGCTGTAACGAGGGACGAACTTGGTGAACTCGGCCAGACGCCAGAGGTCAAGCCCTGTGGCACTGCACTCACGGGAGGCCCCAGGGCCCTCAGAGTCATAGAGACACGGAGGACCGTGGTGGTGGCCAGGGGCGGGTAGGGGACGGGGACAGGGCATCAGCGTGGTGGCACAAGGGAAGTCTGGAGGCGCTGGAGGTGGCGGCCGAATGCAGGAGGCATTGAGAAACAGCTAAGGAGGGCGAGGGTGGGAGGCCCGGGCCGGCCTTGAACCTGGGCACCTCCTGCCCCAGCCTCCGGAGTGACAGGATTACAGGCGTGAGCTGTCGCGCCCGGCTTACGGTCTGGGGCCTAGAATCCCCTGCACAGCAGTGGAGGTGGCTTTCCTGGTGGACACCAGCCCGGCCTGGCCCTTCTCTCCAGGGAGCCCCCCGTCCAGTCAGAACCAGCCCGGCCCCCCCTGAGGAATCTGGGGTGCAAAGTCTGAGAGAAGGAGTTGGGGGCTCGCGTCCCAGCTAAGGGGCAGCGCAGAGGAGCCAGGCACAGGACCGACTGCCACCCTCTGCCTTGATCCCCACGTGGCTCCCTGGCACCCTGCATTCCTGCTCATCCCTGCCGGATGGACCCTCCCCCTCCCAGAAGCCCCACGTCCAGGTGGGGACTGTCACTCTGTGTCACCGCACAGGGCCGGCACCCATGGGACACTCAGGAAAGATGTTGACTGATCGCAGTGGAAACGCAGCCCGTGCAAAAGCCCAGGGGCAGCTGACCAGGAGCCCCAAAGCCGGAGGCAGCGTCCATGGGGTCCCCTGAGGCCGGGGGCTGAGCTTAATTTCGTGCCCCGGGGCCCCCGGGAGCCACGACCGCTCAGCCCCCTGCCCCCCGGTCCTGGGCTCTGGAATGTCCCTGCAAAATGGGCTCCTGGGGACCCCCGGACTGCAGGTGCGGGAGGTGACAGCAAACTGGACCCCTGTGAGCATTTGCATGTTTCTGGACACCGGGCCTGAGTTCGAGTCCTGACCCTCTCCCGCCTGCACCCGCCACGGGATCCCGGGCGACTCCTCCCACTCCGAGCCCCACTTTCCGCTCCCACTTTGTGCCGTGGCTCGGGAGGATCGCGAGTTCCAGGCCAGCCTGGGCCACAGAGCCAGCTCCTGCTTCAAAATAAATGAGCAAACAAACCAAAATGTGCAAGAAGGTAAAGCTGGGGTCGCACCCCCACCCGGGAGAGAGAGCATCAGTTCAGGATTCCCCCGGGTGACAACAGCTGGCCCAGGTGGCAGGGCCGCATTCAGCTCGGCGTTTGTTAGTCATTCAACAGACATTTTGGCACGAGCCTGGGCCGAGGTTGGAGGCTGAGTCACATCTGAGTCATTTGTGGGTGTTTGTCAGGCCTGGCACGGGGCTGAGATGTGAGGAGAATCTGGTGATGGAGAGAGAGCGAGAGAGAGCGAGAGAGGGAGAGAGAGGGACAGAGAGAGAGAGGGAGAGAGAGAGAGGGAGGAAGGCAGAGAGAGAGGGAGAGAGAGAGAGAGAGGGAGAGAGCGAGAGAGGGAGAGAGAGAGAGGGAGGGAGGAGAGAGGGAGAGAGAGAGGGAGGAAGGCAGAGAGAGAGGGAGAGAGAGAATGAGAGCAATAAAGAGACCTAGACCTCAGGCACAGGGACCTCAGCCTCACAGGGACACGGGGACGCAAGTGACAGCCACACCTCGGTGCTGGGTGCTGACTCCCACTCACTCGCTCTCCACAGTGCACCCCATTTTCCAGACAAGGAAACTGAGGCACGGGACATCAAACAGCAGGGCAGCTCTGAGGGAGTCACCTACACGGTGACTGTGCCGGTGGGGACAGGTGGCCCTGGCCGCTGGCAGAGGCTGGAGACGTACGGGGCCGTGAAGACTCAGGCAGTCCGCACCCCGTGGTGACCTGGCCCCAAACGTGAGTGGTGGCGGTGGTTGGGAATCGTTTTGCTCGTTACTTGGGAGACTGCGGTTCAGGTCCCCCGTTCCGTGGTGGCCCCAATCTGTGCCAGCGCCTCACTGGACCCTGCCCCGTCCCCGGACACACACGGGCTGCGTCACCACGGGGTGCAGCTCACGCCGCGACAGGTGCGCCCGCGTCAGGTGACACTGGACAATGCGTGGCGATGCTTTCGGTGGGACTGACCTGAGGGAGGCCAGGGACACCGAGAAGGATCCACTGCCACCTGTCCCTGCTTGCAAGGCCGGGCCACCTGTGCCCGTGCAGCTCCGCGGTGGCCTGGGGCCTTGGCGCTCCGGGAAGGTGGCGGTGACTCAGCCGCGTGGCCCGTGCTGAGTCAAGGAGCAGCCGCTGTCACCTGTCACCGTGCTGGGTGGCTCCCCTCCCCCACAGCTCCTGCAGCCCGCGGGGTGCTGGGCCCCACAAATACAGGAAATGCCCTGCTTCTTCCCCATCACCACGCCCGGGTGACAGTGTCACAGCCGCTCTCTCGCCCCACCGGGACACTCAGCTGGAGACCTGAGCGTCGTGGGGGGTGGGTGTCAGCTGCAGGATCCCCTCTGTGACACGGTGACACGGCGTGGCTTTGCACAGAATCTGCTCATGTCCTCTGTGGACTTGCCTCATGTCACACTTATGCAACGTATGTGCTATGGACATTGTGTCACATCTAGTTTGTAGGGGACATGTTAAGTACAGATGCCATTTTGCCCTGAATATTTTTGGCCCATGGTGGCTTGCACACGCACATCCGGGACCCTCAGACGCAGGGACCGTGTCTGGGCCTGGCTGAGTGGAGTAGTATGCAGCTGTGAACAGCGATCATGAAAACACCACCGGGTAAAACGCTGTGGAAAAAATGCTTGTCACTGTGGAAAGAAGGAGGACATGTGCAAGTGACCCGCCACAAAGCAGAAACAGCCCCCCCACACACACACAAAGGGGAGGATTCATGACACACGTGTTTCTGTCATCTGTCTGTGTGACCCAGCGCTGGCTGAGCCGGTGACTGTCGCTGAAACACACAGCTGGGCCTCCCAGGATGACGCTTTTGTGCTATCCGTTAGGGGCATGCAGGAAATTGAAACTCAACAGCCTGGGACGCTTTACAACTGGCCGTAATTGACGTGAGACCTCCAGGGGACACCTGCAAGGGACTTTAGAACAGGCACTGGCTTTAGAGCTGGGAGCTGTCACTCGGCAGGGGACGCTGGAGACCCTGGAATGGACTCTGTGCTCTGAGTACGCAGGAGCTATGTGCCTGGGTGGCCGGGCCACCTCGATGTCCTGAGGCCCCATCTTTTGCAGAAGTCACCGGCAGAAGGGGACCAGCCACTCAGAGCCACTCCCTGGCCACCCGCGGAAGCGAGCCGGGTACTGACTGCAGAGATGAATCAGAGCGCCCCGGTTCTGCTTTCTGGATTACCCAACAGCACTCAGCTGGTTCCAGGCTGTGGCCTGGGGGAGGAAGGACAGAGGGAGGGAGGGAATCCCAGCCTGTGTCGCAACACGGTGACAGTGTTTTCAAACTGGCTTTGCTCACAAAGCTATTTTCACTTTCTGGAAACGGTTTGAGCCATGGATACCCAGGAGAGATAGGGGAAGGCCCAGGGGTGGCCTGGGAGCAGCCATCGCCTCGCCCAGGGTAGGTACAGCTGTGTCCCCAGGTGGGTCACCTCTGGGAGAAGCAGGGGCACCCCTGCATGCTGGGACTCTTTCTGGAGGGTCTCCCAGTCCTCCATCCTGTGCAAACAGCAGGTGCATTGCTGCAAAAAGCCAGAACGGGGTCGGAGACCCTCGGGAGGCACAGACCTGGCCTCAGTTTCCCCATCTGGAAAACAGACAGTCCCCCTACAGGGCAAAGCATGTTGCATTTTATTCCTTTAAAAAAAAAAACCTGCTGGGTGCCGGTGGTCACGCCTGTAATCCCAGCTACTCAGGAGGCAGAGATCAGGAGGATCACGGTTCAAAGCCAGCTGGGGCAAATCGTTCGAGAGACCCTGTCTCAAAAAAGCCCTTCAACACACACAAAAAAAAGGGCTGGTGGAGTGGCTCAAGGTGACAGCCCTGAGTTCAAACCCCAGTACCGAAACCAACCAACCAACCAACCAAAGCCTGTGTACTCCAGAAGTTTGGCTAAAACCTCAGAAACTTCCAGAAAGAGGTAAAGTTTTGTTTTTTGGTTTTTTTTCAGCACTGAAGAGGCCACGTCAGTAGGACCAGAACTTTCCCCAGTTCTAGGGAAAAAGAGGCCAATTTATGGCTCAAAGAACCTTAAAATAACCCGTCCTCGGTCTTAAAATGCAGTGTTTAAATTATGGAAAACCCACAGGTCCTGGCAGCTGGGGACCACAGCTGCCACTCTGGTGGGGCACAAAACCCTTCTCACATCCTGCATATGCCAGGCAGTCATCCACCAGAACTGGCTCCTCTGTCCTGTCCCCTCCCCAGGGTCCCCAACCTCCACGGGCACAAAACCCTTCTCACATCCTGCATATGCCAGGCAGTCATCCACCAGAACTGGCTCCTCTGTCCTGTCCCCTCCCCAGGGTCCCCAACCTCCACACAGCCAGACCAGAGCTGAGATTTTCTTTTTTTCCAAAAGATGCAAAAGTTTTCATTTTAATAAAAAAACCAGCAAGACACTTCTTATATAAAAAAAAAAAAAAAAAACCAGGCAGCCAAAATGCCCTCTTGTCTCCCGTATTTACAGCAATACAATATCTGTCACAGTCACTATGTACACTATTATAAAAATGTCGCCGACAGTACACATGGGGCTGATTGCTCACGGGGCACCCAGCCTGCGTCCTCTAGTGCTGGCCGTGGGCGGAAGTCACAATTATTATTGCACCATTTTGAAAACAAAACTCGTCGAGAAGGGTGGCTTCTCCCACCGGGCCTTCAGTCACAATGTGGGCCGGGGAGGTGGCATCATTTGTCATGGCCACAACTGCCCAGCCGGGTCACCAGGGTCCAATAAATACCAGTCACAGTTTAGGAAGGGGCCAGTGCCAGCTCATGGGGCCTGCCACGGCCGTGCACGGGTGGCGGGGGCGTCCTGGCTACATGTGCCTCTTCATGTGCAGGGCCAGGTGGTCTGAGCGTGAGAAGGCCCTGTCGCACAGGTGGCACTGGAACGGCCGGTGGCCCGTGTGCTTGCGGTAGTGGCGCGTGAGCTCGTCTGAGCGCGCGAACTTCCAGCCGCAGCCGTCCCAGTTGCAGTGGTATGGCTTCTCGCCTGCGGGGAGGGGACAAGAGGGGTCCTCAGTCTCCCTTCAAGGACACTTGCCCAGATGGTGGCTTCCAGTGCCCTGCAGCTTTGCCACCATACAGGTCTCCCACCCTCCTGATCTGATCTCCTGATCCTCTCTCCCTGCGGGTTCAGAGTACAGCCCACCACCCGGGGTCTGCAGCCATGTCCTCACAGACGTCCTAAGGGTGACCTCTCTCCAGCTCTCCACACACAGGGTCCCCCTAGGTGTGCTAGGCACCTACCCCATGGTCCCAGAGGGGACTTCAGCGTGCAGCCCCTCCCTCACATTGAGATGGAGACTCCCTTGGGGTCCTAACTGTGCGCCCCCCCTCAAATACCTGCACCCTGTTCCCCGTGGACCCCAGGCTTGCGCTGTGGCCGGTCCCAGTGTCCACTTAGCCACGCCCCCAGCGCGCGCCCCCTCCTCACTCTAACGGCCACGCCCCCTCCGTTCGGGCCACGCCCCTTCGGGCGGGCTTCAGCGCGCGCGCCCCGCCCCCAGGGGGCTCGTCTCGCCCAATCCCGCGCGCGCCCGAGGCCACGCCCCCTCCGTGCCCCCGCGCGCGCGCCGGAGCCACGCCCCCTCCGCGGCCGCGCGCGTCCTACCTGTGTGCGTGCGCAGGTGCGCCTTGAGGTGCGAGCTCTTGGTGTAGGTCTTGCCGCAGCCCGCGTAGCTGCAGGTGTGCGTGGCCGTGCGCTTGCGGGGCCAGGAGCGGCGGCCGCGCTTGGGCTTGGCCTCCAGCAGCTCCAGCGGGGACGCGGGGGGCGTGAGGAGCCCGCGGGCGGCGGCGGCGGTCGGGGGCGCCAGGCCCAGGGCAGCGGCGGCGGCCGCCGCGTCGTCGAAGAGACCGAAGGCGGCGGGGGTCGGAGGCCCGTAGTGCAGCCCGGGCCCGGGGACGCCGTAGCCGGGGCCTGCGAAGGCCGGCGGCGGTGGCGGGAAGGGGCGCGCGGGCCGGGCGCGGGCAGGCGTGCGGGGCCGTCGGGGCTGAGCGGCGGCGTGTCGGCGGCGGCGGCGGCGCGGCGGCGGCGGCGGGCGGCCTCCCGGCCTCGCAGGCACGCGGCGGCTGCCGCCGCGCCGCCCTCGCGCTTCAGGCCCCGGGGCGCGCGGGCCAGGCCGGGCGCGCAGCCGTAGGCGCCGCCGTCCACCTCGGGGGGCTCGGCCTTGACCGCGCGCGCGGGCGGCGCCAGCAGGAAGCGGCCGTGCAGCGCGGGGCCCGGCGGCGCGTCCAGCAGCTCGGACACCAGGCCGCCCGCGGGGCCGACATAGGGCGGCGGCGCGCCGGGATCGGGGTAGAAGAAGGCGGGCGGCGGCGGCGGCGGCGGCTCGGGGGCGGCCTCGGGGCCCAGACCGTCCAGCCCCATGGACAGGATGAAGTCCAGCACGCTGTTGAGGTCCTCGTCCGTGCCACCGGCCTCAGGCTCGGGGCGCGGCCAGCGCTGCGGGGGACAGGGCGCCAGCGCGTGAGCCGGGCCCGCGGGTCGCCTCCCGCAGCCCTCGCCGCCCGCGGTCTGACCTCCCGCCGCCCGCGGTCCACTCCGCTGTCCCCGCCGCCGCCCACCGGCTTCCATCCCGCCGCCCGCGGTCTGTGCCCCCGCCGCCCGCGGTCTCCCGCGCCGCGCTCACCTCCTGGAGGCCGCGCTCGCGGCACGGGCTGGCGAAGGTGGAGAAGGACGGGAGGATGGGCTCGCTCAGCGCCATGGCCGGGCGGGTGCGGGGTGACGGTGGGTGGACGGGGGTGACGGTGGGTGGCTGCGGGGGACACCGCGGGGACGGCTGTGCTGTGTGGCCGCGGCCCGGCCCGGCCTCGGCCTTATAGGCTTGGCGCGCGCGGGGGCCGGGCCACGGCGGCGGCGGCGGAAACGCGTCCCGGATGGGGACGAGCTCCGGGCGCAGCCTAAATTTAGCCGCGGTATAAAAGCCGGGCGGGCGGCGGCGGCCGTGGCCACTGTGGCCGCCCGGGCCCTGCGCGCGCCGCCGGCCACGCCCCCCGCCGTCGCCATGGCGACCGCGTCAACACGCGCCGCACAACAGCGGGAGGGGGGGTGATGGGGAGTGGGGGGGGCGGAGATCCCCGCGCCTCCCTGCAAGCCCGGGGTGCACCGGCTCGCATGCAGACTCCTCCCGGGGCGGGGGGCTCAGGGGTCCCCGCGATCCCTGGGACCCCTCGGTGTTTGTGTGCCAAAAAATTAAAAAAAAAAACTTACGGGATAACGTCAAGAAATGTAAGCCCCCCCTCCCCGGGCGTGGTCGTGCATGCCTGTAATCCCACACGCGGGACGTAGAGGCAGCAGGGTTGCCAGTGGGAGGCTCCAAATCACAGAAAAAACAAAACAAAACAGTGTTTAAATTCCCACACACCTGCAAGTGCAGGGAAACTGAGGCAGGGGTGCTGGCTGGGAGAGGTCAGAGGTCTGGCAAGCTGGCTGTCTTTACTGACTCGTGTAAGTGAAGCAGCTCAGAGGACATCGGTGACAGTCACTCCTCCAGGGACCTCAGAAGGCCACCTGTGTCCCCCCCCCACTGCCATAGCTCAGCTGACCAGGGACTGTCACTCTTGTGGCTGCTGCCCTGGGTGGGCTCTGGGGACCGAGTTCCTGCCCCTGGAGACTGCCACTGTACTGGGGGAGGAAATGTCAGGGCCGGGGTCAGGAAGAGAAATGGGAATTTGGAAGGAAGAGAGAGGAAGAGGCAGTGGGTGGGGGAGGGGAGGTGGTGAGGTACTGTCCCTCGCCCAGGAGGTGACATGGGAGGGAGTGAGGCAGCATCTGGAGGGAATCCAAGCGAGAGCCGTGTGGGTATTAGCGGGAGAGCAAGGTGTCACCTGGGAGCAGGCAGTCAGGGCGGCGGGCAGCTGCTGACCTGGAGCTGAGCGAGGTGGCGCACACCTGTAATCCCAGCACTCCTGAGGCTGAGGCAGGAGGATGGCGAGTTTCAGGCCAGCCCGTGTCACACAGGGAGACCCTGCCTCAGAGAAAATAAGTGTGTCACCTGTGGGGGCTTTATTTGATGTTTCAGATAGGGCTTCCTGCTTTTTGTCCAGGCCAATCTGGACCCTAATCCTCCTGCCCGGTTCCACCTTCCGGGTGCTGGAACTACAGGGACTACAGCGCCGGCTCTTTTCCCTTTTTTTCTCCCCTGCACACTTCTCACCATTGGTTGTTACTTTTAGGCACCTGTCCCTTTTTCTGCAGCCACCAGTATGGAGTGTGCACAGGACCACTGTGTTCCAACGGCACACGATAGGTGCTCAGTAAACACTCAGGAGGTGGATGGTTGAGTGACTGAGTGACTGTCTCCCTGGAGCCCCTCCTGTAGGATTCTCCACTTTGTCTGCCTTGGCCTGGTTCCCACAGACCTGCCTGTCACTGTGAGCATTGGGTTGGATGTCCCCTGCTTGAAGGTGACACCCACGTCCATCTGTGAATGTGACCTTAGGTGAAAAGGACATCTTTGCTGTGGAAATCAGGGTCCTATTGATGAGATCACTCTGTGTTATTAGGAGGCAGGACATAGGGCCAGGCATGGTGGCTCACAGCTGTAATCCCAGCTAGTTGGGAGGCAGACATTGGGAGGATTGTGGTTTGAGGCCAGCTGGGAAAAAAAAATGCTTCAGACCTCGTCTCAATTAATACTCTGGGACCTGGTGGCTTGTGCCTGTCATCCCAGCTCCCGGTAGGGCAACAGGATGCCATCCAGGCCACCCCGGGGCAAAAACAGGAGACCCTGTCCAAAAAATAACGAAAGCAAAAAGAGCTGGAGGAGGGACCGAGCAAGTGCAGGGCCCTGAGTTCAAACCCCGGTGCCGCCAAAATTAAAAAAGAATGACAAAGGAGACACAGGGAGGACACTGGGCACTTCAGAAGCAGCCCAGGAGCCTCGAGGCCGGCCGGCCACACTGCACCTCCCTCTCATCCTAACGCACCGAGGCCCAGAGAGGTTGCGTGTGGCCTCCGGTCACACAGCGGAAAGAGCTCACTGAAGTCGGGTCTCGCTCCGTGCGTGGTGGCCTGTGGGCCGGGACGGAGGCCTGGCTGTCCCCAGCGTGAGCAGCCGGCTGATCCCTGAAGTTTGCACTGTGGCCTTCGGAGTCGTCAGAGGATCACTTGCTGGAAGCCACCTGCTTGGTGCGGTGGCTCCTACTCTCCTCCAGCGCGGTCCCCTCCCCGCCTTTCACATGTGACAGAGGGACTGTGGCCGCCACCCAGGACCTCCCAGGACACTGTGAGACGCTCCAGCGGGGCTCAGCCAACGCAGCCACCAAAGCACGGAGTGAAACAGGAACGTCGGCGTCTCCTTTGCTGTGTGGCCTTAGGCAAGCCGCTTAGCCTCTCTGAGCCTCAGTCCTCAGCTTCATGGGTAGCACAGTCCCGTGTCACTCTTGCCACAGATGTGTTCTGAGACTGTGCCACGCCCTGGTGGTGGCCTGCGGGGCAGTCACATGTGTGGCCTTTTCTTTTTTTTTGTAGTACTGGGACTTGAACTCAGCGCCTTCACTTTGAGCCACTCCACCAGCCCTTTGTTGTGTTGTTTTTTTTCAAGATAGGGTCTTGTGAACTGTTTGCCTGGGCTGGCTTCGAACCTCGATCCTCCTAATCTCTGCCTCCTGAGTAGCTGGGATTACAGGCGTGAGCCACCAGCGCCTGGCTGCAGTAAACTTTTTAATTTAAACCTTGTTTGGTGGCACCAGGATTTGAACTCAGGGTCTCGCGCTTGCTAAGCAGGCGACTACCTCTTGAGCCACTCCCAGGCCTGCTCTTTTTCTCTTTTTTGAGCTGTCTGGCTCTGTGGCCCAGGCTGGCCTTGAACTCCTGGCTCAAGCCATCCTCCTGCCTCAGCCCCCCTCCCCCAGTAGCTGGGACTACAGGCGTCCCTCATCGGACCACGGGATTTTTCCTGGGCCCCTGGACCTCCACACTCTGTTTGCTGTGAGCCCTGTGAAACAGGACCGGGTGGACTGTGATTGGCTGGTGCTGCGCTGACCGTGATTGGCTGGGGCCGTGATGACTGATCACACTTGTCTGGGATTGGCGGGAGGTCACTAATGCCTGAGCATGCCTGGGATTGGCTGGTGCTACAATGACTGATCAGGCCCGTCTCTCATTGGCTGATGCTGTCCGTTACCGGCAGAGGATTGGATAAGTGATATTCTTGTAATTTTTCATTTACGTCTCCTGCCAGGCTGTGGTCCTAGGCTCAGGGGCAGTTGCTGATCAGAAATCCCTAGTTTGGCTGGGCACCGGTAGCTCACGCCTGTAATCCTAGCCACTCAGAGGCAGAGATCTGGAGGATCACAGTTCGAGGCCAGCCTGAGCAAAAAGTGAGACCCTATCTAAAAAATCCCAATGCACAAAAACCGGCTGGTGAGCGGCTCAAGCAGGGCAGTGTCTCCCTCACAAAGAAGTACCTGCCTGTTTCTCCCAGTAGAGACCTCACAATGGTGGGCTGAGCACGGTAGTGCGTGCCTGTAAGTCCCTGAATTTTTCCTCTCTCTCCCCAGCTGTACTGTTGCACACAGCCCTTGTGTGCACTCGGCCTCAGGAACTGTGTAGAAAACATGTCACATGCTGGGAAGTCATGGCCACCCCAGCTGCTGCCACAGTGTCACCGAGATGCTTGGGACCAGAGTTTCTTTCAGCACGGGCAGGTGGACTCCCTGCCTCTGCCTCACTCCATGCATTCATTTATTTATCACATGCTTGCTTTTGTTTGGTTTTGGTGGGACTGGGCTTTGAACTCAGGACTGCACACTCGGGCCACACCTCCAGTCCACTTTGCTCTGGTCAATGTGGAGATGGGGTCTCTTGAGAACTGTTTGCTTGCACTGACCTCAAACTGCCATCGTCCCGCTCTCAGCCTCCCCAGTAGCTGGGACTACAGGCGTGAGCACCATCTTAGCCTTTGCCGAGGGTGCGCTTGCGAGTCCGTTCGTGTGCTGAGGAACTCGGCTCCACCCCACGGCTTCCTTCGCGATAAGCAAAACTCATTCCGCTCCGACACAGGAGCCGCAGCGCACCGCTGCCGTCCAAGCACTCACCTGACTAGGCCAGGCCCACCCAGCGGGGCCACCCTCCCAGTGGACTGGGAACGAACTGACTGACGTGGGCCTTCAGTTCCGCCTTTGCCTCAGAGCGTCACCTACGTAATTGTGACCACACCTGAGGCCTGGTCCCCCGCACTCGAGGGTTTGCACCAGGTGTGGGCGGACACCAGCCCACAGGAATTGGGATCGTATGAAAGGTCAGAGTGACCTGAGTGTCCACCTCACCCCTGTGAGGCTGGGGACCGGGGAGACAGGGACACTCAGAGGACACTCAGATGGCCACTGGACAGATCTACATGGGGGCAGGGTGGCCTTGTCCCCATGTCCCCATCTGTAGGGACATCTGCAGTGTCCCTCCTTCCAAGACGGTGGTTCCATGTCGTGAGAGCTGTGTCCCCGGGGCCACAGCTGAGAGCAGGGCCTCCCGGTGACCACTGGCTTTTGTCATCGAGCCCAAAGGGGACAGGTGGAAAGGTGGCAGTAGGCTGGCTGATGGATTTGCAACCATGGAGGGTTTGGTCCCAGATAACCCGACGCCTTCGTCCCGTGGCACACCGTGGCTGCCGTGTGTGACACCGAGTGACACCGAGTGACACCGGGTCCCCGTGTGGCCGGTAGGCACAATGCCACCCGCACCCTTTGGGGACAAAACTAGCCAAAATGACACAGTCCACGGCGAATCTGGCTCGGGGGCTCTGGGGACACCCCATGTCCCCAGTGGCCAGTGTT